GGGTTTGGGTTTTTTTTTTTTTCCTTTTATTCTTCTATTCTCCCTCCTTTCCCACGGAAGAAGAGTAATTAAGGCCCAAGCGGGTGCCCCTCGGTGGTGTCAGGCCCTGCCATCCCCACCGGCCCCTGAGCCATTGGGGGTCGCTCATATATCGGGGTGCAATGAATGGCTTTAGCGGGGTGTCCTTTGCCTGGGATGAGCGGCGTTGCCCACATGAGCCCACTGGAAACGCATTCAAGGAACGCACCAGGGACGGGTTTTTCTCCGTCTTCTCCTGCCTGGGGGTGGGTTTGGGATACCAGCAGCATCCTGCCTGGGGGTGGGTTTGGGATCCCAGCAGCAGCACGGCAGGCACTGCTCGCGTGTCGCTCCATCCTACACCCATGTCAGGAATTGTTTCTTGGGCAGAAACAGCCAAAAATTGTCCCCAGCTTGTCAGTCGGTAGCCACCCTCCGTCCCCTGGGAGCACCCTGTGCTACAATTCATGCTTATAAAGCACTTTTTGAGCCTGTAAAGGATGATGCAAATGCAAAGTACTCCTAACTAATCACTACTGCTATTCATTACGAATCAAGGTATTTTGCATATTAACTAAGCAGGCAGAAAATGTGCTCAGCAGGGCTTATTTGCTGCCACAGTTGTTTACTCCGTAGGTGGGGATCCCTCCTCCCGTGGTTTCGGGCTGTGCCGCTCACGGGGCACCCACAGACTTTCTCTAAAAGCGATCGCTGGTGGCATCTCACCCTCTGCTCCTCGTCCCTTGCGGGGTGAAACTCCCCCCTTTGGCATCTTTTTCCTTACAAGCCTGGTAGGGAGCAGCACCGATTTGGTGGGAGGACAGCCAGCATCGCAGATATCTCTCTTTTCCAGCTTAGATGTCCTTGGTGAATCCAAATAAATTGCAGGTGGCTCTGGGGGAAGATTGGGAAGGAGCAAAGAAGGGGAAAAAAACCTGCACCCTGTCCAGAAATTACCCTGGGTAACACATTTGACAGCGTAATCTCTGCAAAGCCTCCAAGATAGCTTTGTCAGGCAAACAAAACTTGCTCCTCTCCTTTTATTAAATCAACTGTAGAAACAAAATGTGAAATACCGACACAAAGGTTTCAGTGAAGCCTGGGTAGCAGTCATAGCCCAGAGGCAAAGCACAGCCGCTCCCACGAAATACCAGCTGGTGCCATGTGTTTTGATTTTCCATCAAATTTATCATGATCTAAAACTTTAATTAAAGTTAGAAAATAAAAACTCCAAAATACATACAAAATCCCTGAAGTGTGTCCTAGGTGCTGACTTGCTGGAAATTGTCTCCTTCAGGAGACAGAAGCTTCTTTCCATTGGGGAATCAAAACTTGTTTTGGTCATAGTATTTAATGAGCACTGGCTCTTAAATAGCATTTTATTAGCATTAATAGCATTACATTCACGTCAAAGGTGCTTAGAGGTGAAAATGAACCAAATACCAGGTTTTTTCCCCTCTAAGCAGAGCCAGTGGCTTCTTTGCAAGTACAGGATGGATGTTGGAGATGTGTGTGCTCCCCCAGATGCTCACAGGTCCCAGCCTTGTCCCCGTGTAGCAATGACACATGGAGACCCCAGGGACAGATGGATGGTCGGACGGAGGATGGCAGGGAGCGGCGAGGAGCTCTGGAGGGCTCGGCGAGGCGGGCAGGCTGCTGGGACTGGCACTGGAGGTTAGGAGTGGAGTCACCTGCTCTGCAACAGGCATCCCGTCATTCCACATCAGATTTGGGGGTTTATTTTAGGTAGAGGAGTGAAGTTTGCCGTTGAATTCAGATGGGCAGGAGAAACCAGCGTTTCTGCAGTGAAATCCCCTGACCCCCAAACTACAGTTACAGTGTTGAATTTCGATGCACAAGCAGTACACTAACACCAATAACCCCATCCTGAAATCCTCCGCGGAAATACTTTGGAGCAGGATCTACTGCTGAGAGCTCAGGAGGCTGGGGTAAAATGAGAGCTGAGTCAACCTTATTCCTCAAAATTAGGGGCAATATCTGCACAGTTCAAAGCACTTTAAACTCTCTGCAAGGTTTGCAGTGAAAGGTTTGTGCTTTCGCTGGATGTCTCTTGTACGTGACACAGTAGCAGGTAATGCAAAAATATGGAGCATCAATTTTGACAGCTCCAAATATCATCAGGACAGAGTTCACTGTTGCTAAATACAACCCCAGGTCCTGAATTTTTGCATGCGGAGTTGTCCCAAAGACCTCAAAGCTGGATATCCCTCCTCATGGGCCGTGCAGAAGTTACCACGTGCTATGTCTGGGCACGATCCTCGGTATGGCTGGGACTGCAGTGTCACCATACCCTGGGCATGGTTGCACTGGCTATTTCTGCAGCAAGTGTTCCTACCTGTGATAAAGCAATGAAAAATTAATCAAGGTGTTAAAGCAATGAATAATTAACAAAGAAGGATTTTCCTGCAAATAAAACTGATTCTGTCCAAAGCGGGATGTAGCTTTGCAGCGAGCCTCCAGCCCCGAAGGCGCTCCCACAGCCCCAGGGAGCAGGGACCAAGCCAGCACCATGCCACAGGGCACCAGGAACAGCTCCCCAGCTCAACGCCTCGTGCGTGGCCAAAAGCATTACCGTGGGAAGTCCTGGGGTCAGTATAAAATCCCTTATGAGCAGATGGGTGGGTGCAGAAAAGTCTTAAAGCCTTGGAAGTGCTGGGGGTTCAAACCTTGGAGTGGGTCTGCGAAAATGTGATGGGAGACAAGCCATTCCCAGCTCTGCCACAGGCAGGTCACCAACACACTCTACACCTCCGC